AAAATAAAGAAATAAGAAAATAAGAAAATTACACTATTAAGAACTTATATTGTTAGCCAGTAAATGTTTCTTAATATAAAAATTAGTATGTGAAATAAAAACAAAAGTGTTTTGAAGAGGTTCCAGCGAGTACGAATACTTACCCGCATCTTGCAGCCCTAATTCGCTCAAAAAATTTTGATAGTTGGCACTACTGCCGCAAGAAAGACAGGCTGAATTATGAAAATACGACGACTCAATCGTATTAAATGAATAGAATATCTCAAAATTTTTTTCGATTATCTATATTTTTCCTGATAGCATTTGAAAAATGAAGCTATAAGCTATAACACGTGTATACTGATAATACTCGACACTTTCAATTTGAGTTGCAAATCATTAGTCTTAGTATACGTGCCATAACTGCTCTAGTTAAAAGAGCGAGCTTCGAGCAAAAAATTCTCAAAATTTTGTCTGGTAATGGATATAAAAAAGATACCTTTAGATTTAGCGTAATCTAAGGCCCCATTTATAGTGATTGCAGCAGCCGATGGAAAAGTCGGCAAAGGTAGGGAAAGTTTAGAGAAAGGTAGGCAATCAGCGCCACTGGCTGTTGCTGACGTTTCCTTACTTTTGATTCATGTTGCTAGCTGTTCCTCTTTTGTATATAGGTATACAAAGTAGTATCAACAAGGGATAGCATTTGCTAGGAACGTGAACCAAAAGTAAGGACAGGTAAGCAACAGCTAATGGCACTGATTGCCTACCTTTGCCGAACCTTTGACGACTTTTGCTTTCGGCTGCTTTTGGTTACTGCACTCACTATAAACGGGGCCTAAACTATTTAATGATGTATGTATAATATGGTGACACTAGGGCGCTGGAACCTCCTTAATCGACTAGAATTATAAAAATAACTGTGATCATATTACTTGCGATCACTAGATACTTTGATTGAGTACCGATTTTTCCAGCTACCATAGACTTAGATATCTTATGCCTAATAACTTACGCTTACTAAATTCATATGCTGGAAAAGTTTTCGTAAAATATCGTCAGGATTCCTGTCATGCTGCAGTTCAGACCTGTCCATCAAAGATGTATAGTCTAAGTGTTTAACATTACTCATAGATCCTTCCAGCCTCACTGATGCTCACTCAATTTCTATCTTAGTTTTTAAGTAACTTAATCAAACACACCTTATGATTCTCAAGAGGACGCACTCTTCGCAGGACCACTTATTCCAGAACTCAATGTGTTACGTACCCTGATGTATCGCTATCCATCTTTCCATATCTTATTTGCGTAAGGTATAGGCGAATTGGCATGGAAAAAAAACTTGGAAACGCCATCTAGAGGCAATATTCTTAAAGGTATCCGATTGCTTTGTTCTAGGCCAGTCCTACTTAAGAATTTTATTGATAAATTTTTGTTTGATTAATGAGTGCTGATGTTAGATCAAGTAGGTGTAAGCATGCAACACAAATGAATAAGAAAATGAATATAGAGAGCGGCGTTGGCTCAGTGGTAAGCGTGCTTGCTACTGATACAACGCTGTTCTAGGGGTCGTGGGTTCGATTCCCGGTGAGTGCAGATATTTTGAAAAACTGTTTTCACCGGAAAAAGTTCCTATGTCACCCCGGCTGTTTCGGGGCGGGTTTTTACGTGGAATTTTCCTTCAGAGTAATTCCAGGGTTTTTTCCTTGCTCCACAGGTCTTTGGGCCTGGGTGAATGCGAAACAGTGTTAGGGCCTAATAGGTAGGGATTAGCGGGCCCGATGCCAGGCAGGGATCGCCGGCCTTACCGGCGAGGAGTGGCCCCTGAAACATGGGGCTTCTCCGGAGATGCTAATTAGCCTGGATCCGATGCTTCGGACCCAGGCTACACAGTGGGGAGTTGACCCGATGCACTTCCCTCCGGTGCAGAGAGTGTCAGCTTAACTGACAAGGTGTGTTACACCGGAGATACTTCCACTGTGCCCATGGTATGATTTGTATGGTATCAATTAAAGAGGAGATTTAATGGGTGTGGCAATACACCCCTACACATAGGTAGTGAGTGGGTGGCCCCGGCGACTGGGCCAATAGGCTGTCGCGGTAACCCGATATAAAAAAAAAAAAAAAAAAAAANTTTCAAGTACTAAGACAAGTTTAACAATCTCAAGAATCTTTTATTTTTTTTAGCTTGAACGAAATGTTTGCTGTCAAAATATATCAGGAGGAAGCCTAACAATCCTTATTTCTTAAAAAGTATGAACAATTTTTAAACTTGTGTAAGACAATAATATTTAATGAAATTAAAGGGAATAGTAACACTGAGTCTATAAAAAATAGTAAGATATTAATAAGGAGTCAATTGTTACTGAGTATCACTACTGAGTTTATAAGCCCTGAGTACATCTTAATACACTTGAGCAGATATAATAGTGAAAGTGTATGCGTGCACTTGATTGTCTATCTGTGTGTGAGTGAGTGAGTGAGTGTGTGTATGTGTGTGACAGTAGTGAATGCATCTGTGTGAGAGAGTTTGAACTAAGCACGGTTAAAAAATGAGTTTACACTGAATTTAAAACTGCATTAATAATACAACACTTGATTATAACACTAATGCAGTGAAAGCACAAATGGAATATAAGTGGTTGCAGTGAGCCTTATCTACTGTATTATAAGTCCTTCTGTGATTAATAGGTTATGTTAACCTCACAAGATGTGTGTTATGTCAGCAGGTTTTCTGTATGAAACTTACTCTATGAGCATATCAAACTTGAACAGTATGTTATTGATACTGATATGATATATATAATAAATTATTTAATACACCAAGTTTAACTAAGTTATTTAGTATACTGAGTTTAACTGAGTGCATAATGATTAACTAGCTTGAAATACTAACTGAAGTGAGTTTGAGCATTAACTATTTGATGACTAGCCAAAAAAAACGGACTTTAGCTTAACTTATTGAGAGCTAGTTGCCCACTAAAAATTATGAGCATACATAACGGTAGGTGATAAATAAACGCGCGAACAGCAAAAGCAGACCAATCACATACGCCAGCGTGTTAGAAAACGGCACGCAACTAGAAAAAATTGAAAGTCAGTCACGCTTGTAATTCGTGAGCCATGCAGTGCTGCTATCACATCTACTGTAAAAAAGTGTGCGTAATTCGGAAAGACACTGCTGCTTTCAAGATTCTGAACAATTTAATTTATAAATAAATATTTATACACATGTAAATTTTAATAATTACAAAGTTAACGTTATCAGAGCTTGTAGATAAAGTGTAAGAGGAAGCAAGTATAAATAATAAAGATAAGACTGCTTTAAAAAAGTAGTTATTCCAAAATCATGAAGATAATTTCAACGTGGCCAAGTCCGATAATTCTGGTAGCGTGAGTTAGATAAGGCAATACATGTATTAGTATTAAGGATCAAGAGCATTTATGTTTGTTATGATTATGTGTTGTGATATAAAGATTCAGAACAGAGAAAAAAATTCAACTGAAAACATGCAGTATTTGTATAATTATGTATGTTGCAGTAATTAATTTATACAGTTGTAAAGCGCAGTTATACTATAATGTTCAAACAAGCTTAATTTTTTAAACATAACAATAACACTATGTTTTTTTAGCAGAGAATTTTTATATGTGAAGTAACAGAAGTACCTGTCAAATCCTCTGAAAGAAGCCCAAAAAACTTACCACTTATACTCTGAGGTAATTTTTTTTAGTAGTCTCAAATCTCTTTCTTTGCAAAAAAATTGATGCATAAAATTGGACAAAATTTTTAAAAACAATTCAAAAAATCTAATTATTAAAATCATATTTTAAAAAATTGGAACTGAAAAAGTAAATAAAAAAAAATTTATTTCAATACACCTTAAGTGAATTTTTTTAGTGTCAGCGTGTTTTATAAACCAAACCAGATTTTTTTTTAAATTGAAAATTGTTAAATTTAAACCATCTTGTATTATAAGCAATCAAAAATGTCATAAGCATGACAATCTTTTAAAAAACCAATAAAAAAAAATGTAAAAATTGAAATAAAAGGATCAAGTGGAATCATTAAAATGCACTCTCTTGTGTGTTTTAAAATAAAATTACAGACACTAAGCTTAAAACTAACTTATGCTCAAACACTGCTTGTAGAAACCTACTGATATATCCGGAAAAATATTTGCAGTCAATTCTAACTGTAAAAAAGACTTATACAACAACGCAGCCACACCATCACCGTTAATTTAATAAGATTTTCAAAATGACATGCCAATCGTAGAGAGTTTTTTGCAATTTTTTTGCACAAAGCTTGCAGTCAATGTTAGTAAAAATTCTTGCAAGAGTTCTTGCATTCCAAAATTAATGCAAGATTTTGTGCAAAAACGAAAAAATTGTTGAAAAATTTTTTGTATAGTTTTGAGCGTTTAGACTATCAAAAGGTACTATTATTATCGATTTTTTAAATTACACTTCATGAATAATTTTGTTGTACTAAAATGATTAAATTAACACAATTTTATAGATTGCACTATTTGACGTCGTAGTCGCTATTGCATGTACAAGCAACAAAGCACATCATTTGTTTTGAAACTAACAGCTTATTATTAGACTGCCTGTGCAGCCTGAAAATAGTTTATTACTGTTTAGTTTTCTATATCTTCAACGCAATCACAGGGTAATGGATGAGCATTGCATACTTGTTTACAGCTATAAATATTATTTATTTATTAGTAGATGCGTTGCAGTATGGGAAACTCAACAGCCCAATATTCTACTCCATTACAAATATGTCCTCCGGACAATCAAACTTTTACACGAAATATAATTTTTTGCTCATTTTTACATAAATAAGGGCACGTTATAATATTGACGAATACTTCAGCGCCAATAAATATAGAGGTAAGAAATAACCGAACTCTGTATCATTCTTTTAATTCAAAAAATATGGGTTGGTATAGGACAGTTTTTGTAGAGCCTAATCGTAATATTTATTAGTATTTTAAGAAACTGAGAATTTATCTTACTTGCTAACGCCGAATTTTCCAAACGTTCTTGTCCGAGATATTTCTGGTCTTATGCAAGCACGATTCTGTCTTTGTTCTGGTTGACGTATCCAGTCATCCCAATACCTACATGAAGTTTAATTGACAAGTAAAAGTGTTTGAATTTGACGTTATTAAGAAAAAACTGTTGACATCTTTACTTACGATTTTGGCCACTTATGAGATAATTCAAACCACAGTTTCTGAGTCAGCATCCAACCTAAACCGGGGAAAAAGTCCGTTCTATATAAAAGGTGGGGACTTGCTAAGTCTATGAGACTAGATTTTCCATTATCATTCCAAGCAGATATGCACCACAAAGAAGGATCTTCTTTAAGTAGAGGATACGTACTAAGAAAGTATTCATAAAAATCTGGAGATATGTCCAAATCATCTGAAACAATATACTAGAAATTACTTTTTGCACAACTTAAAAATTTTTTAGTAGTCATACCGAGATAGCATAAAATAATCTACTGAGCTATTTTTTTCTTAATATAAATATTGAATCTTTTTGCAGGAGACTAGAATCAAAATACTTTAATTCCGAAGGATTCTTTATGCAACTTCACCAGCACGCCAACGTGTATTTGACTATTGCAAATGAAAAACAAAACTGAAGAGTACATTTGTATTATTAAAAATTTTGATCAATATTTTGCCATTGTGATATGGCCTTAGTTTTGCCTTTTACATGTATTACTAAAATCAAAGTTCTCAACAGTTTTTCATTGAGAGACACAAGAAATCGCGCTCATTGACAAAAGATTCAAAAGCTAATTAAAGACATTTTTTTTTTTTTTTTTAAGTTATTGTTAAGCTGTCTTTTTCTAAATGTCAAGAAAGAGTTACATTTTTTCTACTTTCATACCTTCTGTTAGACTAAAGTTACTATAGCTGTTTGTACCAAATTCTCTATTTAATTCAATTTTGGAAAACTTTTTGAAAATAAAATTTCAGAAAACAATAATTTAAAAGTGGAGGAATTGTAGTATGTTTAATAAAATGTTCTGATTTCTTTCAAGTACTAAGACAAGTTTAACAATCTCAAGAATCTTTTATTTTTTTTAGCTTGAACGAAATGTTTGCTGTCAAAATATATCAGGAGGAAGCCTAACAATCCTTATTTCTAAGAATCGAAATTTCTCTCGTTCTCCATATGAATCATAAACAAAATATATTACTCTTTTTTTTTTGGAGCAAATAATCATGTGAGATACACTATTTCCACTGTTATGTTTTTTCGACTAGTGTACAAATCTTTTTAGGGTATACTAAAACAAATAAGCTTATAATAACCAATTTTTAGTGTAAAAGATGTATACAAAATGAAAACAGATTAAGCACAGATTAAATGCAGCTAGCTATACGCATAAACTTACACGAATGTAAACAATACAATGACCCAAGCTGAAAGACAAAGTGAGTTACACGAATTAACTTACACAAATGTTAAGGTCACGATGACAAGAGTTTGAAATTCTGGAATTTACAGATTTGAAAAACATTCAGTAGTATATTTTATATGAGTAAAAATTCCATATTATAAATATATTCTTTCTTACATATATATTGCAATCGCTAGACACGATAAGGAGCGTTTTAAAGATGAAAAGTTTTTTATAATTCTGTTTGAATCTATTATAGTTCTGCAACAACAAGCAACAAATTTATTAATTTGACACATGCATAGATGTTGCTCAAACAGTATCACTTGGTCCAAATATTAATGGAAAATCACCAGAATTAAGGAAACGAAAAGTTATCGATATTTTCAAAATTGTAAAATACGAATTTGAAAACACAATATATTTAAATAGTTCAAAAGAAATGTGACCACAATCAGTCTGTTCAAAAATTAATGCAAACATTAAGGCAATCCACATCTGATTTTCTATTGGCAGACTAGGGAAACGTCTTTGTTTGTATGAAAGGATAAGATTATGTTAACAAGCTTGCTATACTTTTTGGGGATACTGACTCGTATTATAAAAGAAAAGAGAATCTTTTAAAGTTCTGATAAGAAAAGGTATTCAAAAATTTTTAATTTCTCAATAACATTGACTGTTAAAACCGTAATTCAAATAACATACAGCTAACAAAAACGAGACACATATGGTGAAAGTAAAAGATCTGTCAAAAAAACATGAAGAAAATATTCCGTAATGACGAATTATTTCTTTGCCAACCCAATAACCCACTTTCTTTTAAACGTATGATGTAATAATTTTTTTAAAATATACCAAAGAGAAACTGTATATCTACAACAGTCAATTCTCTTTAATAAGATGATTGATAAAACTAAGTTTTTTTGGGGAACCAATATTTATAATTTATTATTTTTATCATTATTATTTTCCATTATGAACCATTATTATTTTCCTTTTGATACAAAATTATATTAACAACCATTAATTACTATCAGGTCACCAGTTTTTCCATTTTGCAGATGTGGAGCGTGACGATAAGTACGTAACGTGATTGATGAAAGGTTTATAGATAATTTTATTCAAGTTTTGTATTACATTAGCATAAGCTTAACATTCACACATAAAATGTAAAAGGAAAAACTTTTCAGATGAAGTTAATACGACAAAATCATGAAATTACAACTAGTAATATAAAAATTGTCAACTAATAGATTTTCAATTTTTTTGTCTTTTAATTTTACAGCCATTTTGGCAGATTTAAAAGGTAATGGCTCCGCATTGATGTTTCTTTTAAATGTCTATGATACCATGATTGTTATATCGAAAAACTGCCTAAGATTTATTGTTAATCGCTTATATAACAATAAGGAATCTTATTTTATATGGCTTACAAACCATCAGAACACGGTCGTTAAAAGCAAATTGGTAAAGTTATAGAAGCAGCCACATTTACACGAATTTAGGGAAACTTCGAAAAAACAAGTTAGTAGTAAGCTCTTTAGACTATACTAGCAAGTTTGATTTTTTTAAAAGCGATAGTAGAGTTTTCCATTTTTTGTAAGCTTAATACAACAATTGTAACGAACTATGCGTAAAATGACTATTAATGGCTGTGTTGCTCTTTATGTATATGCTCTCGTTATATGAACATCAAACAATCATCACACGTTTATAATTAGTCAATCACTTCCACAGCAATCGAGATCTATTATTTCATATGGCTTTCGAACCATAGGACTACAGTTGAACTATGCATATTAGTTTCTCAAAGGTGTGAGTCAAGTAAGTAAAGACCAAGTATCACACTTTTGAGCACGTGTTACTACGCCCATGAGCCACAAGGACTGTAGCCTAAGCTACGGTGCTACCGCAGATGCTTGAAGAAATCATTTCTTTTATCTTAGGATTTAAACTAAGATATTGTAAATGATCTACAGCAAAAAAAAAGCTTTTTATGTTAAGAATATAGCAAAGAAAATAAGTTTTTAGTATTAAAAGTGGTTTTAGTATGAACACTTAATTTCAAAATAGCTGTAAAAGAGACTGTTAGAGTGCTCTTCATTTAATGTTTGTTAATTTATTAATTTTGAGTTTTCTATTTATTATTATAAAAAATTTGATTATGCTAAGTGTTCTAATGTATGTTATTTTGTATAGTACTATAAACTTGATAAGACTGTCAAGGTTTTTAAGCCAAATATCATGCAATTATGAAATACTTTAGTTGTTAAACAGCATTACTATGGTTCTAATTTAAAAATACGGTTCATCAGGTAGCCTCGAAGAGTATTATTTAACATTGCAACGCAGAAATTAAATCAATATTATTAGATTCATCGGCACCTCCTTACGCTACGATTTCTATTTCATTGAAAGTTTAAGTTCCTCCTTTTATGTAACAATAAATTTTATTGCTTAAAAAATAAAACAATATATTTAGTGAAGTTAGTAATAAGCTATTACGATTACTCTCACAGAATATTAAATAATGGACATCAGTTGATGTTCAGTTTTAAGGAATAATGGATAACTTGGTACAAAAAGTAGTCAACTAGTAGATTTTTAATTTTTTTCACATTTCACAACTATTCTAATATATTGAACGTAAAACGGCTCTGAACAGTCGTGCACAAGTAGCGTTATTAGATAATTAGTAATTAAGTGGTAAAGTATAAGGGACTAAGGGGGGGGGGGTGAAGAAAAGAGGGCATTGGAGGCATTAGGATATTAGGAAATAGGGATGCGTAAGAGGGTTACGAAACATTTATTAAAATTTATTTTCGCATCACCATCACCATGTACTAAAGTAGAATGTGCAATATAAAAATTAATGTAATAATAAAGTTTCCCGTATAAATAACGAAGCAATTGTTTTTTGCGAAAATTTCAAGTTTGTTGTGAAAAATTTTGGCAAAGATTTCTAAATAAAAAAAATTTAATTGTGTAAGCGTGAAAAAACATCCTGACCCGCTATAAATTTGTATGATAATCAATAAAAGCATTTATTTATACAACGATAATTGCGGATATTTTATTCAATATCATAAGAATCATTCCCATTTTGCAGTATTTAGTGCCATATTGTGAGTAAAGAAAAAAAAGCTATTTATAATTAAAAAATTCAAGGTTAAGTATGTCACATGATACCTGAATCTCTTACTAACAATTCTAACAATTTTTTTACTGTAAATTGTGTATACGTGTGTATACATAGATATATAGTGACCCTTTTAACTTTACCCCCTTGCAGAAGCTAACCTGGTAGTCCTAGGTAACTAAAAGTAATATCTCCTAGGTAACATTTGCTGCTGAAAATAATAGTGCTACTTATATTCTTGTAGGGTCAGCCACTTTCAAAGTGAATAAATTATTTCTTTGAAAAAGATTTATTGGTTGGTTAAAACGTAATATTTAGCTCCTCGGATAATAACTCCATCGAATAATAGATAGCGAGATTTATTACTTTACTTTATACCATGAAGTTGCATTACAAAAGTATATCGTTTAAAAATCAGCCTGTATAGTGACTTATCGTTCTCAGAATAATTTGAGTCACTACTGCTGAATTTGCTTAAAAAAGCAGTGTGATGTTTATTTACAGAGTGTTAAAAGCTATTCAACCTAATAGAATGATGGTCAATACAGTGTAGAATTTATAAACGGACGGAATTTTGCTGATGTTTATTTAATGAAAGTAACCCTAAAATCAAATGAAAAAAAAAAAAAAAAATTTGTGTATTCTAGACTTTGTTTTAATAATTCAATCATACAAAGTAGTTACACGTTTAATCTTTTGCAGGCTTAATACTTCACCTTTCTTCTCCTGAATTAGTCACAGCAGCGCATAAGTGCGCGCCATACCCCATCCTCGTCCTGATCTCCTCGCGAAAGTGCATGCGTATACCACCACCTCAAACTCTAGACCCGTGGAGTCCCGGCAGTACATAGGAGTGCGATACTCTAC